TGGGTCTAGGAAAATCTGTTCAAGCTCTTACATTGGCACGATATTACAAGTAAGTTTTACATTTCTGTGTTTAGTTGCAGACCTTGCGGCAATATTGCCACAGACCCGGACAACCCAGTAGCTAGCGTCTACACCCGTTATTGCCAAGTCCTTACTTTAACTTGGAGTTGCTTTTAGTCATCGTTTTCTTTTATTGTTTGCGCAGTTAACCTGACATTGTGCGGTCTCTGCAGCACAGACAATATGATAAAAACTACTACTGTACTGCTGCACTGGAATCACTCTTAGTTCTCGAAGGAGCCTTTCAATGTGTAGGGACGGGAGTTGTCCGACCTCAACTTTACTATCGATGTACTGTATCAACAAACATTTCATCTTGTTTAGGTCTGAATGGCCTCTGCTCATAATTTGCCCCTCTTCAGTGAAAACTGCATGGAAAATGGTTCGTAACTTTCTGAAATTATGACTACTTCATTGGCTTCCATCCAACTGAACTTTCCAGCAAATCAACAAGTTCCTACCTATAATTCAAAAAATCTTTCTCATAGAGAAAGGAAGTGATCCGCTTCCAACAGCACGGACATCAAATACGGTAATGTCAGTACTATTTCATGACATCATTCGAATCCTCTCAAAATGTTATGTTTTGTAATGTTATTGATTGAAGGGTTGTTTTTTTCGTTTCTATCAGCATAGTTCAGATTGCAATTATGAGCTACGATTTGATGGTCCTCAAGAAGAAGGAACTAGAAGAACTTAATTACTATGTGATCATATTTGTGAGTGTTGTGCCTTACATTTGAAATCTTGAGTATTTGGTTTTTTGAAATGTAATGTTCATATTCATGGAAAGGTAGCCCTACCGATTCCTAATGGCTTTCAGGACGAATCTCATTTGTTAAAGGACAACAAAGCCAAGCGGACACAGGTGGCCCATTCGTTAGCGGTTTGTTTCAACTAAGCTTCGTGGAAGAAAAGTCAGAGGTCGTTCTTCTAATTGCAGAAACGAGCAACACGAGTCATCCTCCTTTCGGGTACTCCCGCATTGTCGCGCCCAGCTGAATTGTACTCTCAAGTAAGGCTAGTGAATGACCGTCTTTTCCCGAATTTCCACAATTTCGCCACTAGATATTGTGATGGAAAGCAAGGACGATTTTGTTTTGAGGTATGTGTCTGCCCTAATGTCTTAGTTGTCTCACTGTAGGAATTA